CTGCCAATCCTTACCGTGCTTAGAAAGGAAAGACTCTCAGAAAAAAAATCACTAAATTGTGGATTAGGCCTTGTGTGATGAGCAGCTGTAAAACACGTTGCGGAGAATTGTCTGGTTATGTAAAGACAGTATCTTTGGAATGCATTGTGGCTTAAATTTTGTCAGGAAGAAGATGAAGAATACAGGTGTCAAAATGTCAAATTAGCTCTGTCAAGGGACTGCTTTAAAAATGCCCTGTTTGAAAAAACAAGAAGGAAGTCATGAACTTATAAACCCCCCCCTACTTAAATGAAGATATCATGAGATCTTTAAGAAACAATATGGCTCCCTGAAAGGTTGATGTTGGCTCTCTTAAACACAATAGCACATCGTACAAAAATAGAAAAGAGAAACAATAAATGTAAAGTCAGCCTCTCTGGAATATTGTACATGTTAACTGGTACGTGTTATATATATGTACTGGAACATTTACATAAACCATTGATAACAAATAACAAGTCATGCTCCTTCGATCTTAACAAAATGCCAAAAATCAGCTCTTTACTCATCCAATAATGCATTCTTGTGGCACATAAATGAAGTAGGAGAAGCGTTACGCGTACATATTTTATTTCCCCATTACTGGTATGATTAGACTATTTTTCACTAGTTCTAGGTGAAGACAAAATCCCTACGGGAGATTAGGCTGCTCGTTTTCAGTGACGAATGACACGGATGTTTCCATGGCAACTCACCAGTGTCCCCATCAACTGCCTTAATGAAGGCTCCACGGTCATCAATGACGTGTGATCAAAAGTTGGGTTTATGCTCACAAGCTGAAAGAACGGCAAAATGAAGTTTTTCAAATAAGACAATCAGACTTTTTTAATGATCATAGCGAGAGTCCTTCCAGTTTATTTTTGACATGATGCCACTGTAAACTGCCCTCCCCCCGGACAACTTGCCAGATGCAGTTCTTCCCTTAGGTAAAGTATCTTTTCTACTCCCACCGGCATTTATTCTAAAGCCAAATATCTGACAAACTGGTACCATTTCCAAATGCCAAATTGTAAAGAATTTTTTTCCCCTCTGTTGCAGTATCTGTTGGAGCACAAAATGAGCGGAAGAGAAACGCACCGTTAATTTTGAAAGCCTTTTTGATGTTGGGTTGTACTTCCTTTGATTTCTGTTTTTTTTTATTCTTTCCCCTATCTTGTGCAAGGACATATACATGTAGAGTACAGTCACATTGTTTACTACAGTACACAGTTTTCTTTGCTATTTTAATAAAATAACCTACTAGAGTAGAGAAATTCTACACTTAACCTGTAAGATGCTAAAATTCCAACAATGATGACCCAGGAGGGCTGTGTACAGTTGGCAAGAAGTGCAAAAGAGAGAAAAAAATAAATCCTTCTTGAGCCTCTTCAAAATAAATTATTTCATGCAGAGGGGAAAAAAAACAGTAAAACTTGGGCTGAAACATTTGGAGCTGAAACTAAAAGACAAGGGACTTGGTCCTGAGATGAAATTCTAACTTGTTTTGATATCAAAGTTGGACTCCTTTTGCTGTTGTTCCACACATCCAATTCTTCATTGTTCCATTTATTCTTAACCAAAGATGCATCAAATCTTGCTTTTCCTTGGCTTATGGCGGGAGAATTACCATTTGGTTCAAACACAGCATGCTTCTTATGGATTGGGGGGAAGAGGCTGGAGAAGATACTAAAGCCGGAGACAGAGATGAGTTTTGGAAAAGAGCTGCCCCAGCGACCAAGTCCGATTGTGGTCTGAGGCCCTGTTTGTGATGTTCAGATGCGGATTTTGATCAGTGACAACATTGGTTCATTCCATCCATTATGCGAGTGGTGGTGTCGGTGAACCAACATTGGATCACTGATCGCGATCTCATACTCGTACAGATTCTGAGTTGCTGGGACAGCCTGAATCGGGTTCTCCTTTTATCCCTCACAAATATACCAGTACATGTACATTTATGAACACTGAAGACATCCATACATAAACATGGACTGATATGTACATTACACAAGTACACATGTACATGTACATGCATTCACATGTGGAAGCCAACGTGGGTTAACCCTAAAAAGTGCAGCGACACTTTGTCACTCCCTTGGACTCTGTTGTGAGTAAGTGGGGGACCTTATCAAGCTGAGCTCATGAAACACCTACGCCCTCCTCAATAACTATTGTGGATTACCAGGAGACCAAAGGTCTTGTATAAAGGGAAGTTTTACTATGATTTTTGGGATGGCTGGAGGGTCATTGCAGGCTTGGTTTGTTAATGAATTAAAGCTGTACAAGTGTAAAGTGTCTGTATCGCAAACCCTGAAGTTATGCTTGCTTTTGCCTGCCCAAACATACAAGACAGCACATACATGCACATGGTAAAAACGCTTCAGCCAACTATGGCCAGTAGAATCTTAATCTACCGCTACACCCCGCTTGAGCTCTGTTTGGCCCATCAGAACCAGTACTGATGCTCTGTTATGGTTTCAGCTGACGGATTCTGATGCCATCGATATTGTAATTGATCCTTGTGTAAGAGATAGATACCTACATGTACATGTATGTTCAGGTATGCAGTTTGTTTTTCGCTGTATACAAGTACAGGCCTGGGCAGCCGCACCTGAACAGTGTCAAGTTTACTGGCACATGTCTTATTACATGCACCTCTACACAGTAGGGGTACATTACTGTGCTACACTGCTGTACCTGTTCAGTTAAACCTCTCTTACTTTTATGAGGATTTGAATTACAGGCCTGTGTAGGATTCTTCTTTTTGTCTTTGTCCATCATAGAAATGTTAATCCCATGCTCTCTTACAAACCCTAGTCAGTAGATGGCCCATATTCTAAAGTTGTGGGGGGGGTAGCGCTCTGCAAGATGGTGGTTGGAAACTGTGCTTGCTCTGGTGTGGGAGGCCTTTTGGTCCAGTCATACGGTACTGTGAGAATCCTAAGGGTTGGACAAAACACCCAAAAACCCATTGATTTGATGAGTTCGTTAAAAAAAAAGAAAGAAACAAGGAAATTTATCTACATGTACTAGTGCATGTACATGTATAGGATGAGAAGTACATGTAGTTACCTTACATACCTTTTTTTTCTGGCCAGCTTCACAATGCAACTGTCTGGTGTTTTGTTTCTAAGGGAAATCTGCCAGTCATGTCTGAAGTTGTGATTCATGCGTGAGATAATAAGAAGTCATCACTCTATCCACGAACGTACACCATCAAACGCACCACATTAGGGACCTTGTTGAAACTTGTTGAAATTCGTCTCTGGGCTGTGCAAATGGATGATGTACATGCTATACAAATAGGCACAATACCGTCTGTATGTGTCAAAAAGTAGGCCCTACCATACAGTTTCAGAGCAACAACTTGGGTTTCCACCATTGTTGAATTTATTCAGGTTTGGTACATGGTTTGATGCTGTGTAGTTTTTATGCAATGCACATTGCTTGATTACACTGGACAATGCAACAAAGGTCTCTCAATTTGGACCTTTCAGAAATGCCAGGTCGGGTTAAAATGTACAGACCCTTGGGCTGCGCAGCTGAGAAATTTTTTCTGTGGGGTCTGCTTGTCAAGATGCCAAGTACTCAAAAAGTGTGAACAAGATCAGAAGTGCATCCATTGACCAGTGTTGTAGTGGAGACCACTTAATACCTTCACAAGACCACACAAGACTAACACAGGACCTATAGTCTGAATTCAAGTCACAAACCATTCAAATGAACTGCAACAAAAGCATTCCTTTGTCATTGTTTACCCAGTTACCTGTGACTTGTCTCGTGCGTAGTCTTGTGCCTGGTCTTGTGTCCGGTCTTGTGTCTGGTCTTGTGATAGTCTTGACTACATCACTGCTGTAGACACCTAAATCATTGTGCTATCTGAATGTATGTTCAACTCCATTGGGGTTAAATTTCAAGATTAAGTGAGCAATGCTTCAACTTAATCAGTGTTGTTGTTCAGAGAATTGCATCAAGTCTTTTAATCATTGTGCTGTTGGGCTCCTGCCTTTTTTATGCAATGGAAGATTTGGCCCACACACACACGGGCGCGTGCTAAACACCTGTTTGATCGCGTGTGAGGGCAAAAGGTGCCTGCAATGGATGACACATCACAGTTTTCTTTCCTTATTTTTTTCCTGCTGTCCTGATAAGTAGTCTCTAGAACGTTGGGTCGCAGCCTCGGTCTGTGCAAACTCGTGGGGTGGTTTTTAGTCCAAAATTTAGAGCTATGCCGTCAACTTGGGATCGGCAGAGTTGTTGACTCACTCAATGCAGGGCGCCAGGGATTTGTTTTTCTCTCTTTGTCTAAAAAGTTGTGAGAGAACTTTAACAAGAGATGGTTGGAGAGCTAGAAGCTTTGCCAAATTGCTGTGAGACATTTGATGGCTGCCTCGATGGTAAACACATCAGACTGAAGTCTGTGAAACTTTCCCCCCCCCATACTCTTGGCAGTGTTCCAAACACCTGTAGGGATATGGAGTGTTTCTGATCCAGTGCTTGTTTGTAGTTGTTTGCCCTTTTTTCCTCTCAGATCAGTTCATCTTGTTCCATCATGTAACTTAAAGCGAACATGGCTAGGAAGTCTGTGAAAACTAGAAGCGGAATTTTAACAAATTATAGTGGAAATCTGAAAGTTGAGTCCTTATGAGCACCAAAGGTGCATTCTACCGTACGTCACTTCTTTCAGTTACATTTTCGAATTTAATTGTTAATGACCCAACACTGGACTTTCTAACATTGGAATTCTTTTTTTTTTTAAATTTACAACCACTAACCATAATTTCACTTTCACATTAACTAACTACATGTAGAAGTGTGTATTCAGTGTTCTCATTTTCGTAACATGTATACTGCTATTCTCGATGTACATGTATGTATGTGATTGCACAAGTGCAGAGCACACATGCATCTGGCTATCAGTAATTGAACTGGGAAATAAATCTAGTTTGGACGGTCTTTTTCCTCCATTTATTCGGTTGCAGATTTACACCCGGCTGTGCCTCCGCCCACCCCAGGAACCAACGCGTTAATGAATGCCTGTCTACGCGAGAGCTTCAGCAGTTTCCAGAAGGAGCAAGACAGGCTTGGAATACCCCGAGGTGAGTGAGCCAGACGGACAAGGATATTCGGTCCTCATGCGGAAAGTACATGTAGCCTCCTCCCACTCACGAAGAAAAGATGTACCGGTAGGCTCAAGAGAACGTGAAAGTGTTTCAAGCTTTTTTTGTGCATGGAAGGACTTAAAGATGACAACTTCAGCTTTCAACCTTTTGCCGATTTAGTCTGAAACAATGCTGCAGAGGCCAATATTGCTCAGTAGCTTGGTGGATTTGATGTCTTGAGTGTGACACATTTCTGACAATGCCTGGTTGTCGTAAAAGTTGAACTTCTCTTTATTGACAGAATGTCTTGTTAGGACAAAAGTCTAAGTGACTGCAACTTACTTGTACATTAATTCGTGACTCTATTATGCCAGTACCGGGTATTATTTATAAGGTTGTATTATGTTATACTGAAAGCATTAAATGTTGCAATTTGTCCGCTTTCTACAACTTTATACTATAAAGACCAGTGGTTAAGAAATCAAAGTTGTAGGCCGTACGTTAAAAAAAATCAGCTTTCCCCAATGTTGGTCAAGTTTGTTGGTGCTAGTATTAATCCAAAATACGACGGAGACAAAAGATACATGTAGTTAAAGTAACAGGTGGAAGATTGAAATTATGTCTTTTTCCTGAAACAGAAAAAGAATACCCGTTTCCAAAAAAGTTGATAGATATTTGTTTTTGATGACAGATCCAACACAATGGACGGAGTGCCAAGTGGTGGCTTGGGTCCTGTGGGCAATCAAAGAATTCAGTCTGGAGGGTGTCTCCGTGTCCAATCTGCGCATCCCTGGCCACGAGCTATGTGCACTTGACAAAGCTGACTTCCTTGGTAGGGCACCCCCCTTCATGGGGGATATTCTCTGGGAACACATTGACATGCTGCGAAAAGGTAAGGATGAAAAGCATTTTTTGGACTTTTAAAATGCAAGATCAATGTTAAAATGATTTTACCTGACTATTTTTGTTGTTTACCAATTTTTGATTTGGGTATTCTGTGTTTTTTTTATCAGAATGTGCAAGTCCACCACCGCAGACTGAGCCAGTTGTCTCCACGGCAACCACGGTAACGACGACACAGTCGGACGTCAAGCTGGAGTCCGCCTACACAAGTTGCATGCCGCGCTTTGACGACTTTCTCAGTCAGGGTAAGAGTGATTTTTTTTTTTTTACTTTTGGCCAGAATCATGGTTCATTAAGCCAGGGAGAAATATTTTGAAATTGATTCGTCTGCGCTGCCTTGAGCATGGGATATCTGGACACTTTTGCGACTCGGCAAAAGTATCAGTAGAGTGTCCATGATTCTGGCCCTTGGCTGTCCATCTGTCAGAAAGAGGTTTGAGACCATTTGGCACAAGCAGCTGGCAGCTTATTAAAAAGGTAACATTTCGATATGATGAACAGAAGGGTTATTTTTCTACGACTAATGGAGTGATCAGCTGGATGTTAACTCAGTGATTTTCCCATGGCACCACAAAATGTACTTCTGTTATGCTTTCAGCCTTCAGGCCACAATTCCCAACAAGAAGACAGGCCTACATGTGGCTGCCTGAACATGAACTGCATGATAGCAACTGACAGGAAGTTTTCTTCATCCCACATGTAGTTGAAACACCCCTCTACCTTATCAGTATACTGTACATGTACCGGTGCTTCTTTCCCCTGGCACCACTTTTTCACGCCATTTGTGTTTATGTGTACATTTCTGTTGATCTGCAGTGTCTCATTGTTTTAAAAAAAAATAGGATTCATTTTGAAGAAAGTTAAATTGGTTTTTAACCTCTCTACAAAGTCAGCTTTGTTTCCTACTTAATTTTGGTACACGCTTACTTGGGGGTTAATGTACACTGTACATTACATGTACTACGTGTAGTGTTAACAATACTCTCTGGCTACTCCAGAATTTCAACATCGTATCTCAGAATTGTGTCATGAAGTAGAAACTGCATCTCTCTATTTTCCTCCAATCCGTCATTCTACCAAGCTCGGGGATCTTTTGTTTTTGAAATCTGAACTTGACATTGTTTATCGTGCTTGGGCAAATGGCGCACGAGCACAAGCCTGTAACACAAAGTAGAAGGTGTTGCCTCAAACATATCACAACATGAGGTGGGCACAGCCTGTGGGAGATAGCCTGGAACTTCCTCTTGTCCTAGTGCTGCAGCATGGCTTTCATGGCGGACAGAACAATCCAGGCTGACGGTGTTAAAAATCTGAAGTTTCCTTCGGTGTTGGCTTTGGTGTAATCTAGACATTTCAGTCATACTAGCATTTCATAACTTTGTGCCTGTTTTTCAGGAGTCATCTTTGCGCTTGTGATTAATCATGAATGATACACTGTCCCTACAAGGTGCATTGAATGTACAAAAGTGTCTACATGTACATGTACGCACAACATCATATTCACTGATGCTGTGCAAATTGAACCTGAGTCCTTGTCCAAGTCCAAAATTGCCCCCCCCCCAAAAAAATGAATGAATTAATTCTGACAGGGTTATGCCCCAACATGAATTCTGATTTCTGCTTGCAATTTTAATATAATGCTGTCCGACTTCAAGCATTTACATGTACATGTTTTGTCAACCCAGACTTGCCAAGTTCACAATGTAGATTTGAAATTGCAAATCTTAGTACTTGTTTCATTATTAGGGCTACTGTCACAGACACTGCCCTAAAGAAGAGGGACTCCATGTGTTATCAACAGAGTCGCGGAAAACTGTTTCAGTCTCGTTTTTTTGGCCTGCCTTGTGCTTTGCTTTTACTCTAATTGTAAGATGATCAGAGTTTTGGTTATGTTCTTCAAGTCAATTGAACATATATGTATAGTACATGTACATGTACACTTATATGTGTAAATCGTGCACTGGATTACAAAGAAAAGTGATGCAATCGCAACCAAAACACATGTTATTCTTCAGTAAACATGTTTTAATTGTTGTGAAATACCATTTCACGCCAAACATTGGACATGAAAAATTTCAGGTCAGCCACTTTTACACTACAGGTCAAAGAGAGACTTTTGTAACATGCATGTGTGTCTGTTTGACTACAAAAGCTGGATTTTTCAGCAGTTTAATAACTTAGGCTTTGCCACTTTTTGCACTTCTGACAAACAGAAAAACCAAAATTGCACCATCTACCGGCTCTTATTCATTGCTATTTGAGAGAATTTTGTTAGCTGCTGAACTCCTTGAAAAGTCACAGTTATTTAGTGGTGTTATTGGTTCAACCCCTTCAATGGATATTCATGAATTTCTTGTAACCGCTTCAATCTCATGCGTAACAATGTATGTACATGTATTGTATCTGGGAATAAGCATACATGCATACTCACACATATCATGCCTCAGCATTGGGGCCTCAGTCTGGGCCAAATGAGGAGACAAAAGGAGACTTTTTACCACTGATCAGGGGCTGATTGTCCTTGCAACTCTAATTGTCAGTGCCACAGTCACCACCACCTGCCAATCAAGCGGGAACAGCCCTGATACCAGGGTGGACCGGCAGATCAGTGATATCAAACCACAATGATGGACCAGCTCAGGGCCGCCTCTTCCTGTGGCTAGAGCTGGAAATCTGTACCCCCATCAGCTCTTGCTATCTCTGCCACCTTACATGGTCCTGACTTCCTGCACGTCACCACAGATACCAACAAACGAGAAAGAACGAAAAAAAAAAAATAGATTAAACAAAAGCAAAAAAAAAAAGTGGGGGGGGGGACTGGTTTACCAGAAGTCAGAACCAGAAGTGAGTCGGAAGCTGTGTGGGATGATCTCTGTTGTTTTCACAGTCAGTGCTAAAATTCATCTCGACCAGTGGGTGCACGCAACTCGTGAACAGTAATATGCTGTGATGAGGTTTTTCTGTCAAAGTTGTTTATTCAGAGTCGTCGGTGAATGGCAGATTTTGAGTTGAAAATACTCTGCCAAGCACTCATCAAGGACTCAGTGGATCACACCAGATAGGTGTGGGAGAACATACCTTTTAAGTTTTGATTTCATTCTGGTTTTCATTTCATTCTGGTTGGATTTGCTGCCGTCGGAGGTGTGCTTTTTCCAGTTTCATTTGGGCATTGTTCAGAACCTGAGATACATTTCCAACTGTTGCAACTGCTGAACAGAGGTTGTGGACGTTGCTGGCAGTGAGATTGTAAAGTGTCTTTGCAACCTTTGCAGGAATATGCACTGAATCACTCGGATTGTGGTTTGGCGGATAAATTCATTTGTGACCTGGCATGTGAGAGAATGATGAAATAAGTAAAGAATCGGAAAGATCTGTGTCTGTCTTGCAGCGTCATAACTTGGAGAAACAATATATCCATTGTTATGAACTTTCATCCTCAGGAGAACCATACATAGCAAATGAGAAATGTGCACGTAGAAGGAAGAGCTTTCGTTCTCCGAGAGACATCCTGAAAGACTTCAGACGTTGCCGGGATTTCAAGTCTAACTTGGAGTAGATTAAGGGACCGAATACCCTTGGGTCTGCCACTGTCCTGCAGGTATTGGTACTGCATAACACCGCATTCGCAGTCTGGTCTGGCCCCAGGCGCATGGTTTATTGTTTGTAGGGCAACTCCATCAACTGTGTGAGAAACAACTCCCAGAAGCCATCTTGACAAAGGATCTGTCAAATCCTGAATCTGTTTTTCTTCAGGCTCTGCTCTGTGGAGCGTCTTCTGCCGGCCGGGGCCCCAGCTGGCTTTGATTTGGCCCCCATTGTTTTGATGTTACCCTGAACCTCAACAGGAAATTACCGATCAGAACTGCTGACTTTCTTCTTTATCTCCCTGACTCCATTCCAGTCACTCTCCGTGAAAAAAATAACCTTTGAAAATATTGAATGCCAACTTTCCCCCTTGTGAAACTGATTCAACTTTTGCCCATTGCCGAGGTTGATTTCTGTGTAAATTCTTTGGGAAAAAGGAGCCAAGGTAGAAGTTGATCTCAACAAAGACAGCAAATATTGTCAGAGTTCCCCGCCTCTTCTAAGAATTTGAATATTCATGAAGACCATCATTGTCAAAATATTTCCAACAGGTTGATTGTTCCTTCAAGAATCAAAGTGAAGGGATCAACCAGTCGAAATCCAATCTTGGAAATTGGCTTCAGAAAAATTTCTGTCTTCCCTTGCAACTATTAGAGTCATATTAAACAGTTTTACCAAGGATTGGGAGCCCAAATGTGGACCAACATTCATAGAAAACCCCATTTACCTCGAAACATGGATTTTGACCTGGGTGAGTATGAGGTTCTTATGGAAACTAAATGGCAAATCAAGTGAGTAGACTTGTTTTAAAAATGTCAAACACATTCTGAAAGAATTTAACAGATTTTAGAGAATAAAAGATCGGCACCAAGCAATTGGCTAATTCAAGAAATTAGGGGTCCAAACGTGTGATATTTTTGTATCCCTGTTACATCTGACTTTGTTGTTTGACATGGAAATATAATCAGATTGATTTCAAATTATTGCTGTTTGTCTGGCAGGTAGTTTGCATTAATTCATCACTCTTGGAAATTAGGAAGTGGGTTTGAACTTTCCAAATCGTATATCAGATGTGACAGGCACACGAAAAAAATGGACACCTAATTTCAGGAATTACCCAATTGCAAATTCTTGTAAAATATTGAGATTAAAATCAAAGAAAAGGAGTGTTTTCAAACTGTTTTTCTTCTCCAAGTGGATCTTTCCCAAATTGTCCAAACCCTACAGTACATGTAGCTCAAAGTTTATCAGTTACCAGTCCATGTACAGTATTGGGTTGGAACTTAGAGAGACCAGTTCCTATAAAATAAACATGAGTTTTCTTGTTACATGTATATGCCACTTACGTATGCACAGTGTATGTACCGGTACATACATGTATATGTATATCATCTTTGTGTTTAATTTTCTTTGCTAGGAATTTGGTCAGCTAAAATTTCCAAAAGGATTCAGTACTCACTTGTAAATTTTGAATGACTTCTGTGAGAGCTAGTGTTACTTATTAAGGGGAATAGATGTCATACTGGGTGAGCCCTGAATGTAACATTGTACCGGTAAATAATTTGGCTACAGCAAAAATAAGGCGTAAATGACTTCACGCCCCTTGCCATCGGCTCCCGTGTGTTATTTTCACCTGTAGCCAAGTAATGCAATCACAGCCCAAGTACTGGATGGTGTGGAGAGTTTCCACCCGATATGGATTGACATTTGTCCTGGAATCGGACAGTTTCGACACTCCTGTCCAACTTTGTCCATGTACATGTACCGGGGTACCTGTTAAATGTACATGTATGTTTATGTGTAGGTAATGTAGCCATTGCTGTTATAAAATCATTTACATGTATCACATTCTAGAGAAAGAACAGCGTGGGAAGTCCTACCTGAGTCAAAGAATTGAAGAATTTTCTGGACTGTTTCTAAAGTGTCCCTAGTTTCATAGTGAGTCTAATATAGGCCAAGACAAGTGCTGTTTAATGAACTTTTTTGTTTGTCATCTGACACAGGTTTTTCGGTGGAGCAACCGCAGGCGGTTCCGGTGGCGACCACACCCACCACCTTCAGCGACGGCATGTACCAGATTTCCGAGTCGCTGCAGACGCTCAACGAGTTCAACGCCGAGGAGATCTTGAGCATCAAGCAGGAGGACCCCGGCAGCAGCTCGGACTACTACAGTCTTGAGCCCTCCCCCAGCTCCGCCCACTACCTGGAGGCTGCCACGCCCGAGTTCTACAGCAACCCCATGATGTTCGACCCCAACACCTCGTACTTCCAGAACAACAACTACAGTAAAAGTAGGTGTCTTTCTTGTCCAGTGTTCTCTGTGTGCCAGTGTGTGTAAATTCTAGACTTAGTTGCGAGGACATTAATGTGTCCCTACACAGCATGTTGTGTAGTCCCCACCACCGAAGAGCAAACTTTTATGGGCATACAGTTCTGGATCTTTCCACTGTTGGACAGTAGGGTACAACAGGACAGCATTGTCAGTGGTTGGGTCCAAACTCCATGCTTTAAGATCTCTCATAAAATTAGTGAGGGTTCTTCCCTAAAAACAATGGGAGGACAGTAGAAGGTCCACTATTTGGAGGCGTCTGCACATAGTTGTACCGAAAGGGTTACTTGCGAGGACACTCCATGTCCTCAGAAGGTTTTTGTTTCTGAACAAACTGTATTAGACTTACCTACATGTATCTAGAGAAACCAGTATAAGAGGTGGTTAGCATAAATGTACCATAGTTAATGCAGACTGTGTGGGTGTGTGGGTGGAGAGATGCAGTTCCATACCTACTAGTATTTTCTCAATACGGGCGATTCACAACAGTGCGCCTGCAAGACTTTGCAACACGTTGGCCTTCCACAATGCGTGAAATCTGTCGACCCTTTCCAGATGCGCATCGGGTCGACAGATTTTGCGCACTATGATTGGTCAGTGCGTTGCAAACTCTTGGAGATGCACTAGCGGTATTGTGAAAGGCTTGTGTTGATTAGCTTTGGTTTATGTGAGCAGCTGACAGGTTGTCTCACTCGGCTTCCTTGAATTCTGTTCAACTCTGTGTGGTCTATGGTTGACATGCTGTGCTCTTCATTGTGCAGATGCGGGACACCAGTACAAATTCAGCGTGGAAAAACGATTGGTACAGTTACTTGTACATGTATTTCAAAAACGTAAATGTGTAGGTGTGAGCATATTGCTGTGACAATGGCATTGCTTACAGTGTAGAGGATAAAATAATCACATGAAGCTTTGTAACTCTCCAGTATTTTCCGAGCCGCATACGTATCCGGTACGCGTACCATGTCTAATAATACTCCCCTATCACACTGTACTTATTGTATGTACATACATGAACCATGTACAAATGGAGAAGAAGATATCGCAAGGCTATCTACGGACATGAAAAATCAACATTCCAGTCACACCACACTTTGGATTACAGGCTAATACGTACATATGGACATGTATACATACATGTAGCACTCTGTGCTGTGCCCCCCCTCCCCAACCCCTTCCTGGAAGTTTTCAATTAACGTTGGAAGGGACCCTGCCCAACATCAAACACAGTGGGGAAGTTTTTCTTGCGCTGTGAAAAGAGAGAGTGAGGCGAAACAGAAGTTGAGTCATCTGACTTAGGTTATCCCAAAACAAGCTTTCTTAGTCACCCTACATGTACGTTTCCCCAATAAAAACTGTTCGGTTGAATTTATGAACACATTAAAATGATATTTAATTCCAACAGGACATGTATGCATTCCGTTTGCTTCCGTTGCTAAACTTCACAAATTAAAAAATAAAAAGAGATGTCTTTTTTTCCCAATAGCATGTGCATAAATGTACTGTATGCTTTCTATGCAGTACAGTCTTTAGTGAATACACCTACAGGGAAAACAAGTAAAGTTGTTTTGATGGGAGTTAGTTAAGGGTGGGATGTTTACATTTTTAAAAGTAAAAGGGTTTCAACGAAAAATGTTCCAAATCTGTTTACAAATTTTCCCAAACGTTTAGAGGTTTGACGTTTTGATTAACGCACAGTCTGGTGTTCCATTTTATCGTAAACGATGCCTGTAACATACTGGGTCTTTTTCCCTTTTGGCATCCATTGTACATGTATGTACTTTTTGAGAAAAACGAATGGATCCGAAACAATAAACAATAACACTGCTTGTTTTAAATGCCCCAACATCAATCTACATTTTTCCATTAGTTGGACCATGTGCATTGCTGAACTATACAGTTACCGGTTCATGCACTGATATGCCTATATGAAAACATGGAGCTGGGCGTCGGAGTCCTCTGTAAAGTGTCGGCTAAACATTTCAACAGTATGGGAAAGTGTTTGTAGATGTTGTTAAAATCAAATGTAAATTCCTGATTTACCACCCTTGCGAGTTAATGATACAATCAGTATGTATGTGCTTGCTGTGGGTAGTACTAGTCTCAGAAGCTGTTGGCGTAAACTGTTCTTCTCTGGTTGAAATTCCATTGTTTTCCCTCAGATCCTTCCCACTTTCCCTCAAGGGGGGGGGGACATATTGTCTTGTGCAAGGGTGCTTCACTTATCCATTTTGAACAATGTGACATACAGTATTTGAAACTTAAAACCTTCCCGATTTGTGCAAGTCTATTTACCATGATATGCTACATGTACATGTATTTCAAGCATATTACAGGTACACGCGTACATGTAGATATCAAAACTAGCACAAGCAGAGTCGTACAACATTAGAACCTTGTGAGAACCAGAGATGGTGATGTTTTATTTCTTCATTACGTGCATTTTTAGTTTTGAATAGTGATACTGGCATGCATCAGTGAACACAGTTCAGGCGACCAGCATTTGAGTCCGAGTTTGCTACTTTCCATTTTCACAATCAATCAAAAGTAATTCTCTCATTCATTTTTGCGAAACAAGAGTAAGGTATAATTTACAAGGGTAAATCCAGAAAGAATTACTTGTTGGCAAGATCTAATATTTGTTTGCAATTTCATCATTGTCGGAATTCACCTTAAAGTAATAATTAGCAGCAAAGGAAAAGCCAGAAGTTGAAAAAGAAAGTATGAAAATGCATGTATTTTACTATATACAGATGAAAACCAGCACATGCATGTCATGCGCATCTAGAAATCATGTGCTGTCAAAGAACAGATAAGAAAGCATTCAAGAAAGAAAAGCACAGCTTTCCATTTGTAAAAAAAAGAACAGGATTGTTGCAACTTTCATCATTGTGACAAGACTTTGGACAGTGTACCTTGGTACGGTGTATGTATGAAAAGTTGTGCATGTACATACTCTACCTGTGGGCGTGGTTTTAGAGAATTAACCCTTGCATCAAGTTACATGGAAATTACTACTGGGATTTTCAGGTTTCCTTTTGTTCAACCGAATTATCATGAACGTTTTCTTAACTTACACTACTCAAAAAAGTTAAGGACCACGTTTTTCTTAACTTCCAATTTTTTTTCCATGAACGGGTGGGGTCTAGTCCTATCATTTTTTGTTTGTCTAGATGGTGTTCTCATTGAAATAAAAAATTGAAAAAATGTTTCATAACATCAAATGCACATTTTCAGCAGTAAAATATCTCATAAAAAGTGTGTATACACAAAACAAAAAGTGATCCTTAACTTCTTTGAATAGTGTATCTGAGATGTACAGGTCTACACAGCCCTTGTGAAATGTGAGTGTTGCTCGAGACTGAAACAAGTTTGGGTATTGTAAAAATTTGAAGAACTAGTTCACAGTAGCTGTAGAGTGGTCAATCGATGTGACTGTTGTGCTGCTGACTTGTGTCAGACTGGAATTCACAAAGTCAAGACGTGACTGTTTCACAGGAAGGTGCCATGGTTTTCTTTAGAAAAGTTTTCTGGTTTTGTATGAAAAGGTGTTGTACATGTACATATATAGTATTGTGCCCTCTTCTTGCCAGTGTTCAGGGTTCAACATGAAGGAAAACTTTCCAGTATTTTAGTTTATCGTCAAAGTAACAAGGAGATACATGTAGGTTTGTGCCTCCTTTTGGGGGGAATTTCAAAGACATTGGCATTGGAGAGGGGACTTTAGAATCTTCTAGTTGATATCCCACCTTATTCAGAAAGGCTATACACACCCTTTTAATGTCAAGATGTTCGTTTACACATACACATGTACTGGTACGTGTATGTATGGCTTGATGCATAAAAGTTAAGTCAACATGGCACACAGCGCAGCAGTTTTTTCAACAGTTTGCAAAGTCAGATGTCAGAACACTGCTCCTTTTTTCCTGAAAGAGGAAATGACATCAGCCCCTGACGCTAACCGCATTCTTCCTTTCTGCTGTGGAACGACTTAGTGGAGCAGGACATCCCAGGCTAGGGCTCCCTTCCTGTGCAGATGTTTAATGGGGGGGGGTTTAAAGGGCCATTGTGAGCTCTTCAACTTATTAAAGCGTTGGACTGTAGGCTTTCGCCTCCCCTAATCTTACAAAAGACAATGTACATGTTCTCAAGAGTGATTACTAATCTTTTGTGTGCATGATTGTTCACTTGGGCTTCTTCCGTTTCTCATAAGGAGGAAAAGGAACATCACGTTTTGTCTCCTCATCTGAGGATGTTTACTCGTACTTAAAGGATTGCAATGAGAGCAAGGTCTTCGTATGTTGAAATAAAAACCATTATTGACAAGTAAAAAGTGAATTTCAGGGCTGTTTTGTGTAAACATTCTTCATCTTTTGAGAACATTTACTGTCTTCAAGACTGTAAGGTTAATTTGTAAAAAAAAAATAACGGGTTATTCCAGAAATTAGGTGTCCATTTTTTTTCATGTCCCTGTCACATCTGACAGATGATATTGTAAGGTCAGAACACATTTTCTAATTTCCAGGAGTGATGAAGTAATGCAAATTACATGTACCTGCCACACAAATACCAGTAGTAATGGTTTGAAATCAATTCCGGTGATATTTTCATGTCAAATCACAAAGGTCAGATGGAACAGACACACAAATATCACTCTTTTGTTCCCCTTATTTCTGGAATTACCTTAATAAACACAACACAGGTACTGGTACGGATTTTTGGCAAGAGGTATACATGTATATACATATACATGTGCTTGTGACGCAAAAAAATTGGTGAAAGTTACTGAAGTTGTTAAAAGTATACAGATTGTAAAAGTTATAAAGAGATTGTTTCGATCCTGACTGGGTTTTTTTCAACAGAAAGACTCAAAGATTCCACTGGAGTTAAAGCACATGTGCATGTGTTCTGCCTGTCAATCGTGAAGTGTCAAGAATTGTGTAGTTTGAGACTCAGTGAAGTGATTTTGCTTGTCAGTTCTGTTGAGAGAGTCCCTTAATGTCTTCTTGTTTGCCCAGTAGATCAGTTTGGTGGCTTTGACACCTTTGAGAACCCCAGCAATGGCTACCAGCAGGTTCCCATCTGCAAGTCGCTGTCGGACAGCTGCACGAGTTCTGACCTCAATGGGCTGGTCCACACAAATGTCACGCGGTCCACCTCACCCTTGGAAGGCTCGTCGAACCCCGTCATTCCCGCTGCCGTGCTTGCCGGTTATTCAGGTACAGCTCCTTCGATATTCAGCGGTAATTCTCTTGAGAATTTCTTCATTCTGTAGAAATGATGGAAGATTTATTTAGAAAGGGAATACCGTACATGTAATATTGGTGGTCTTGGAATCTTAGAAGTAGTTTTAAAAGTCTGCGAAAGTTGCATGTTGATGTGTTATGAATCCGGTAAGCATGTGATTGGGAAAGTCCTAGAATTTGATCATGACTTTTTGGAAAGAATTAGATATTTGGAAATGCTCTTCCAACGTTTTGAAATTATATGTATTCAGGAAACTTTTTGAAATGCTGATTTATGGAATACTGCAAAGTATCGGAAATATTGGCATTTGAAGCATTTTGATGGGGGGGAGAACAAGCTCTGTGGTTGTAAAGATTCTTGTAATTTGAACAGGAAACAATGTCAATAAATTGGAAACACTGTCTGGTATTGCAAGAAAGTGAACCTCAACCAGTGATTGATACCCACACCAGTGAACTTTGTAATCAATTTAGTAGAAAAAGTCTCTTTTTTCTTGTAGCCCAAAGAAAAATTGAGGTTGTCAGCAGATGTTTAGAAATGGTGCATGTATGCTGAATGCACTTGGACCTTGTGCCTGTACTGGTACATGTGTGCAGCATGTTTAGTTTGATTACAGTCACCAAGGTTTCTACATAATTAGTGGGGCGCACTTGTTGATGTGTTTTTATGCATGTTCATTGTACACGTGGCACCTGTGCACTTAATTAAAAGAAGGCATCCTGCCATGTGCGCCAATCAGCCCACAGTCGGAAAGTCGTAAAGGCCCTGTGTCTCTCCTTTGGAAGATAATTCAAAACTTGTGTGGGGAGGGTTTATTAGTTTTCCTCCTTTGATCTGCATGAAAAGTGCGCCGGCATTGTTAATCTGAGTCCAAAGCAGACTTTGTTATTATTCATTCATGAACGTATAATCACCATCTCTTGTTTGTCAGAGAGGGGATAAAAAAAAAGAAAGTAGGAGGCGTTTTGTTTTGAAATTTGTCGGGATCGGCCTGGGGGCAAAGTGGCTGGTACAGTGCGCCCGCCTGGGCTTGGCATTGTATCCTTGACACAGTGCCAAAGAGCAGATTGAAAGCAGTGTATTGTTTTGTATTAGCGGTCCTGCGGTTTTACCGTAACAACGGGAGCTGTTGGGTGGGTTTGTTTAGGCCCAGTGTTTTGTGTAATTAGGGAAACTGGGAGGGCGCCTCATTATAAAGTGAAGGGTGGAGCAGAGAAATTGGCGTGGGAAATTGTCTGTTTGTTTGGTTTTTTTGGGTGTAAGAAGGTTTCAGTGCATGGTCAAATGGTCGTTGCCTGGCTTGCATTTTGTATCATAGTAACTACTGAAACCCTATGAAAACTTGTTTACAGGATTATTTGAATTGAATGCCAATTTTAAACTGCATCTCACCCCTTGGCTTTGACTTGTGTTATTGAAAGAAACTGTTCTAATTTTAGAAATGCTGTATGAAGTATACTAAGTGGAATTCAAAGAAGTAATATTCACGTACTAAACGGATAACACCTTAAAAGATCAAATTTAAAGTGAAATGTAAGTTTTTGAAAGTACAGTCACTTCTTCAGATGTAAAGACGAGGGACAAACTAAGAGTTGACATACAAAATAAGAGAAATTGTTCTGGATAAGTGTTTCACAGTTGCTGGAATTTTTATGGGACTGCTGATGATAATGACTCTCGCATTAAAATGGGTATGTGTTTTTCTTTTGGTTTATTTATTTTTCTTAGGGAGTGGTCCAATCCAGCTTTGGCAGTTTCTCCTGGAGCTGCTGACCGATCGGACCTGCCAGCACATCATCAGCTGGACAGGGGACGGCTGGGAGTTCAAGCTGTCGGACCCAGACGAGGTGGCCAGGCGCTGGGGCAAGCGCAAGAACAAGCCCAAGATGAACTACGAAAAGCTGAGCCGGGGCCTGCGCTACTACTACGACAAGAACATCATCCATAAGACCGCCGGCAAGCGCTACGTGTACCGCTTCGTCTGCGACCTGCAGAGCCTTCTGGGCTACACCCCCGAGGAGCTGCACGAGATGGTGGGCGTCAGCCCCGCCCGGGATGACGACTGATTGAAGCCGTGGTAGCAGACTGACCTCTCTCCACACCCTCCAAAGCCACGCCGTAATTTTCAATCCGTCGGCGTGATGCCAACTGAAAAGCGACTCTCAGCCACCCTCAGTCGTTACTCAAATGTCCTAACGTAGGCTTGCCTCTCACTGGAGGTGACCGACAAACTCTTGACTCTTTGCGGAGAATCCTTGCTGTAACCCGCTTGTGATGGGATCTCGACTTCAGTGGGAAGTGCCACCCAGTTTTTACACCCTCAAAGGTCCTAGAAAATCTCAAATGATTATGCTTCCTTTATGTAATACACTCAATTGTTCGTTCTGGTGTTTCTCTAAAATGCAGCATATGCTGCAGATAAGTGGCTGAGAAAAACGACTCAACTGATCAGTTATTCTGCTTTTTGATAGGAGAGTCGGGGGTTGGTCAGCAAAGTAATGGCTCCACCCTTATAAGGACTTGTATGTGTTATATATCCATTCCAAGGAAACCTTGAGTTGTTCCAATGCTCTGATTCATGGTGCTCTTTTCTGATGGTTTTATTTGGCCAGAATTTGTCTGGCTTCAGCTTTGTGCATGTCTATAGAATGTCCTTGGCGACACTGTTGTATGGGTCAGTTGTGTGCCATGCTCGCCAAGCCGGCAACGTCATTTCAACAAACTTGAATGGCCCGAGGCCTCTGGCTGTTTTCCCAGTGTCCCCCTTTCTGTGCAGGGTAATTTCTGGAAGCCAAAAAGAAAAGTCTTGAGGCATGTCGATTGTGCCTCTGTTGATATGTTGACCTGTAGTGTACAAAAACAATGGGGTTCTGGTAAATATATATATATATACATATATACTCTACTTAAACCGTTTTTATTCCTTGTTTAGGAATGTCTGTTGCCATGCCAACTTTGTGTTTTGACTGCTCAGTATTTCTTGTAAAGGCAGTATAGTGTTTTCATGTGATGTCCAACACACAAGTGTTCAAATATTTGGCAGCCAGTCTGTTGAGTTTACTTCGCAAAGTGCACTGGTATAATTGCATTACCGAAGTTCTTTTTTTTATACAAAAGACTTTAAGTAAATTGTTCTTGGCTGATCTGTGCATTTATCTGAGTCTGGTCATTTGTTCCCAAGTAATTTTTCTTTCTAAGAAAAATAAATGGTGCTCTTTATAATAATCACACAGGCATTCCTTTTCCAAAATGAAAAACAAAATTCCACTTTCTAGCAGAAAAAAATTTGTACTGGTATTGTATATGCCAACAGAGATGTATACAAAGAGTGTAAGCTTTTGTGGGGAAAAAGAGTCAGTGTTGTTAATTTATTTTTAAAAATCAGTTTTATTTTATGCAGACAATCGCTACAGGTTGTCATATTTTTATGGTCTTTCTGAGATTTTAGTAGCCTTACATTTATCTAGCAAAGCAGCTCATTTCCTGTCTTACTGGTATTCAGGCACAACTTGGGGGGGTTTACCTGTGGCTGGTTTCCATGGAAACCATGCGTGTACAGTTTTATTCTGTAAATAAATTCCTGTCTAGTTGTAGTACTTAGTCTTCAGTTAAAAACTTTAAAAAGTAAACGACCAATGTCGCAAATGGTGATGTACTTGAAAAGATTCTTTGTCCTCAAAAAAGTGTGATTACAGTACAGTCGCAGGTTTGTAAGAGCCAGAGAATGAAACATAAACAAAACTTGGCCATCCCTGAGTTCTCATCCGATGGGTTTGAATCTGTAATTAGGTTAGAGTTCATGTGTTTAACCTCTTTTGAACTGGGTTGGAGACTTACTCAGTTCCACAGGAGGCAATTCAGTTTTGCCGATATTTTTTAAAAGAGTTGTTCTGTACACTGTTCATCTATCTGAGTCTATCCCTTGCACATTTTTAAACATTTCGACCGACAGAGCTTAAATCAACGTCATCAATACTAATTCGGTCAATCATTTGACACATGTAGGCTAAAATGGTATCGTCTTATAGCTGTGTCTTGTTTAGGCTGTATTTCAACTTTTGAAAATCAATGTAAACGTTCTCAAATCTGAGTTTTGCGGGCCAAAACCAGATTGTAAAATCGCACACTTTTCAACTTCCACACCATAGGTGCGCCCTCCGACGTGCGGCATTATTTTTAAATTTCATGTTCATGTCTGTAACTTTCACACCTCTGGTCTGTGTGGCAAGTTCAGGGGTCATTTGTAACAACCTGTAAGTTTGCGTCGAGAAAGATTTGGATGGGACCGATGTAATGTCTTCTTTTGAAATCAGATATTTTTAACACTGGTTTTCAATACATTATATATCACCAATGCTCTATTTTCTGAACGTTTTTCACACATTTTTGTACAAAACAAATCTCACAGCCAGACTGTTGAATTTTTAACGTATTTTTGCTTAAAACTGTGGGCGATTATTCTCTTTCCGAGATGTGTTGTTTTATTCTTATTATGTAAATGTGTATTATTTTCTTCGTAGTTTGAGGACACACTCTATGTACCGTTTGTTGTTAGAGCAAAATGTAAACATGTTCCGTATGCGATGTGCCGCGAATTTGTAAGTAGGAGTTGGGAGCTGATCTTGATTTGAAGCACTGTGAACACGTGACTACCGTACTGAGCATGCGCCGTATAATGATGTGCACATTGCATGATTTGGCCGCCTATTGATGTTGGCCGTTGTTGTTTGCGGATGGTACGTGTTTTGTGTTTGACTTTTAAGAGTGACATTTCAAACTTTTGATCTCGCTCTCTGCTTAAGAAAAAGTTGTTATACATTAGAGAAGTGTTTATGTTTTGATTTTCTGTTGTTGTCTTTTTAGGATAAGTTTGACAGAAACATACTCCAGTGCTGGCACTGGTGTTCGAAAAGAATTTTTTTTTCATCATGACTACTGTAGATGTGTAAATGTTTATGTAAAAAAGAAAGAAAAAGTCATTGTCACTCCTTGTATTGCCCCGCGATATTTCTTCCTTCGCTTAGTTTATGAAGAACGTAGGCTTAGTGTACACGTTGTACATGTATCACGTCGTCTGCGTGTAGACGTGCATAGCGTTTTACCACAACTCTCGGCGTGTTATGTATGGTAGGCCGGCGAGTCAGGAACTAGACTTGGACAATTATTATTGTCTGGGCTTCGCTTCTGACCGAAAAGAGTCCCTACTTTGGTGCGATGTCTCTCAAAAAGAAGAAAAACAATCACATTCGGAACTGAAATCAAACCAATCAGAAACCGTGACATTAAATGCGAAACTGAAGTGGGAAGCCATCCATGGCAAAGCCCAGGTCAAGGAAATAACTCTGTGTCAGGTTTCCCGATCCCAGACCAAAATTATAAAAGCGGATCTGTTTGTTAAGCTGTTCCTTTCTCCACAAGTTTGTGACGTATCTACGCATTATTTACCTTGACCATTCATGTCATTGTTCTAAAACTTGTGCCTTTGTAATAACTAACGCTTCGTTGAATGATCCTTGTTCATTATGTCCAAGCTTCAATAAAAGAAGGAAAAGATTACTTGACACTCCGCATTCGAAATGTCAAAGTCATTTGCGTTTTATTGTGTTTGGGGAGGCTGCATTTTTTCCCACTAACTTTCTTATTCTGGACGTTTTTGGAAGGAGTAATGCGAATCTCCTGGTATCATCAGTAAAATAGAGTTAAACATTTGGAAAAACAGTGGAAAACCATGGCCGAATACAACTTTTTAAAAATTCTCAGATTTACAGGTCAAGATGACTGTCCCGCCTGCTTGCACAAAAACCACAAATGTCTCACAAAAGATGTGTTTTAGGAAATTAAGAACAATGTCTCTGGTGTTTCTTCATGCCTCAAGAAATTCTTTCTCAAGAAATCATTGAAATAGGCGAAAAAAACATGACCCTGATACACAGCGCTACACCGCACAAGTCATGAGAGCAAAAACGGTAGCCCCTGACACTTTGGACGTCTTTGAATCTTCCATTCGGAAACGGCGTAATCATTTGTCACACGTTATAACTGCCAAAAATAGCCGCATGTCTGAGTCAGAAAGCCATTACAGCTTGCGCACTTGGCATGCACGGGGCAGGACAAACTCAAGTGTCGCAAGATCTAACGTTTGAAGGGACAAAGGTATGGGAAACTTCAAATCTGATTTCTGTACATAAGACGAGTGAATTTCTTCACTGCCAGAATGTACAATACATGCAAGTACACTGGCGCAAACGGCGTGCCGTAATTTCATCTAAATTCCAATATGGAATTGTTTTTTAATTCATTATCATTACAAACGGTACGAGCACATTCAAGCGCAATACGTGTACTTTTGAAGGCAGCTATGCCCTTTATGAAATACTTCCTAATTCAGATATTACTATAAGTAAGAAAATTTGCTGGAGGAGGACCTTGCAATGTCCGACTCCGGGAACTCGATTTTTATGGAGTCCTTGTGAAATACATCGTTTTGTGTCTAACACCCTCCCCCCAATTTACCTTTTAAGAGCATCTTTGTCTGGTGCCATTGCTGTTTTAGTTTGTTTGTTTTTTTCAGGCAATTTGGATATTCATGAGCACACATACCGGGAGAGTGTTTCCAAGTGATATCCTTTAATGTTAGATAAAATTTGACTTCAATTTCGTTCTCCTTCAGCTGTTTCATTTCTTCAATAATTCGAGTAGGCTCTTTAAATTCTTTTTTCAAGATGTATTTTTTTCTTTAAATTTCTTTCTTTAAATTCTATTACATACGTACCCTTTTTAATCAGGAAAGTTTGGGTTCCCAGTGAGTTGGGAAACCCCCCTCCCCTTAATGAACGTTGTCTTACTTGAATTAAGAAATACAAAGGAACGCCCGTATATGTCAAGCAAAACATGGGAAATATTGAATGTTGACAAGATGCAATTTTCTTACCAAACATGGATGTAAAGCAATGTATTCATACATTATATTTGGAAGGGTCACACTGCATGCTCCGAAGTATAATGTCGTGGGTCCTTTGAACACGGCAAAGTGGAATTAAGTATTGTGTGCGGTGTGTTAATATAGCGAACGAGAGGACCCATGCACATTGTTGAGCCTACATCCTTCAAATTCAAGTCTTTTATGTACAAGGCAGTATGCCCTTGGAATTCCTGTGTTCTCTCACTATTCTGTTTATTAAGACGTTACTTCCCTTACCAGTACATTGTGGGCTGCGTCCCAGTATAGCGCATTCAATGCAGCTCTCAAGAAATGTCACATCTCGTTAGCAGAAAATAGAAGTTTGGACCTAAAAATAGAACCCAAGAAATTGACAGGATTTATGTGAAATTCGGGTCAGTTGCTCACTTAGAGAGACCTCCTGTTTGAGTGTAAGCGATGGAAGGCTTATGGCAATTTCCTGTTATCATGCCTGTCCACACTCTCAGCCCCTTGGGGTATATACTTCTTAGGTCCTCCCCCTCCCCTAATGGTAAGGAAAGGGTGAATGAGGGCGCACGAAAAAGAGAAGTTTGGCTGGGTCGTGGATCAAACACAAACGGCCTGCGGCGCACCAGCCACGCATAGCCTGGATTTGGGGTAAAACCTGGATACCATGGCCACTAAATAAGCATTAAGACCGTCCCTGTTTTGCAGCGCAACTTCCCCAGGAAAAGAGGGGGCGTTGCTTACATACAACAAAAATAATGTTTTGAATGAAGAGCGCCCCTCTCTCTATTGAAACAGTATCTTGAGTCTCACCCTTTTTTCCGGGGGGGGGAGGCGGCGCAAGCAATCAGCAGCAGTAAATTGAGAAACTATCAAACAGTCTAATGGGTAAGTTCCGAGGTGGTTTCAAGCAAATCGGTGATTTTACCAAGGTAGCCCCGTCAGTTATCAAAGAACTGCTCTCCCTGGGGGCACTGGATATCGGAGACTGAACATTTAGATACAAGGTAAACAGGTCCTCCGGTCATGGGAGGATGGGGGTTGTGGGGGTGCACGCCCCCTTTTGTCACCAAAAAATAAATAAAAAGAGAAGAAAAGGAGGGAGGAGATAAACAGAGGGAGGGACCCTTTCCCATGAAATGCGACAAAGGCGTAAAAAGCAACAGTTCTGCTTGTGGTTACCCGACCTTCCTATATTTTTACGGCCACAACGTTGACCCTAAGAGTTTTAGTTCAACCCCCCCCCTTTGGGAAAATCATGGATCCACCCCTGCCCAGGTCGGTTCCTTTGGATTTTCATTGGAAATGCATTTCTTTAAACATATAAAAGTTACGGTTTTCCTGACGAAATGGGTGTTAAGTGCTCTTGATGTCAAAAAGACGACAATCTTTCTATTGGGAAGGGGGCTCCAATTAATTGACCTTTTAGAAGCATGGCGGACACAACAGGAGGGCGCTGTTTGAAGTGGGTAGATTTGGAGCAAACACAAAAGAGTTTACCCAAACCAAATACATGTAGCGCCCCCTATTGTGTACGCCATGCTTCTTAAAGGCTAACCGTTAACCGCAAACGTGATCATTGAAAGTGAGTAAACTTTGCTCACTCTTCTATTCCCCTTGAGCAGAAGCACCCCTTTATCGGTTGGAAAGAACCATGTTGATGGGGAGTGTTTAGTTTGTTGGTAGCGATGCGACTGCAACGCTCGCGTTTTATTGTTGTTCGTAAGCCGGCAATGTGCAGTCACCACCAAAGGAGCCTCCGTTGCTAGGAAAATTGAGCTCAAGGCCCATTGAAATAACAATGAAAAAACAAATCATCAAACCAAATAAAGTCTTTGAATGCAAGGAAATCCAGAGATACGGGATTAATCTCGGGCAGAAATAGTTGTTGTAGTAAGGTTTCTTCCTTTGATGACATAAACATTTGCTCATAAATAATTATACCAATTTGCATTAGCAAAATAAATATAAGGTACCATATTACCCTAAAAATGACATGACACAGAATACATCAACAGTCAATAAACAACCTCAAAAATAAGTCGAATAGGTTTCAAACACCGATGAAAAAGACCAAGGTGCAGGGTAAAAAAAACTGTGCGCCTGAGAAAATAACACAACACGGCCCCTTTAAACTTTAAAGCATGGCGGACTCAGAGCGACTTTGTTGTGATAATCCTCTCGGGGGCCCACAGATAAAACATCGCATGTCTGACACAGGAAAGTGCGGTGTTGATGGTGCGTGGGCGGGCATGAGTGATGGGGTTGCAAAGGGAACAAGAAGTAGCCAACTGACAGCTGACGATCGTGCACACAAGTCATGTATTTAAATACACTTGACGCGCAGCATTGACCACCTATACGGTGGACCTGAAGGGACAATTTTTGAGCGACGTCGTAAATTCATTCATGAATTGTAGCGAATATATTTGAGACGTCATGAAATTACTCACGACCATCCGCAAATAATTTTTGCGAAGTCTTGAATATTTGTGCGACCTTGTGAATATTTTTCACGTCTAGTAGTGAATATTTTTTTGCGCGTGTGACGCCCTGAATATTTTTTTTCACCACCAGTCGCAAATATTTGCGACGCCGCAAATAATGTCTCACGACTAGTCAAGAATAGATTTACTAGTCGCAAACTCGATAGCGAATATTTTCCTAGTGACTTGAAGGGTACGATAATTTGCCCGACTAGGTCTGTTGTCCGGTGTGTCTCCGTGTATTTCCAATGTGGTGAAGATGACCTAGCTCTCGGAAATAGCTGGAACAAGCCACGTGGAAAGCAAACCTTGTTTTGCTGAGCCACGTCGTTCCCAATGCCCTTGTCTTTTTTCTCAATGCACATCTTAACTGTTCACTTGGCATAGCACGTGGACAGCCATGCAATATTACAATTGCATGGTTACTGCACCGCAATACACGCAGAATGCTCAAGGTCAGGCAGGCGCTTATTGTCATGTACTTGCTGTTTGTTATTAGTGCAGGCACCCTTTAAGCTAGTGGAAGAATATTCGCGACTAGTGGTGAAAAACATGTACGACATCACGAAAATATTCACGACCAGTCGTGCATTTCATGTCCCTTCCGGGCCACCGTAACCACCCACACAGGAGTAATTTCGATCTGTGTGATAAGGGCATGCAAAGCCCTCGGTTCTAGTGGTTATCGGGAGAACGTGGGAGTTTCAGTAGTATTTACGTATAAAAAAATATCCTTGTCCTTACTCTTCCGTGATATATCAAGAATATACGGATTAAATCACGCGTACATAAAGCATGTCAGCTAATGGTGTAATCTTTGTACTGCCACGTGCAATTGGATTTATCTGACTTGATAACATTATTTGTCACGACTCGAGGAGCAACGCTGACAAGAGGCTACCCCCCCCCACAGGCTCCCATGTCATACAGGCGCCAGAACGAAAGGGACGTCAGTGTGTCCTGCAGAAGCGTGACACGAATCGTTTTAAAGTTGGTCATGGCAAATTACTGATTTTTCCTACACAGTGAGCGTGTGGTCAGTGTGGGGGAAGTTACTTAGCGAATTTTACGTCATTTTTGTGAGGAAATAAAGAGAACATGGCCACCTTTCTTAGTTTCCATTAGAAAAAAAAGTGTCCACGGTGATGACAATAAACCCCTTCCTTGCATTGGATGCCGCTGCTTTCCCTCCGGCCACGGCCAGATGGAAGTTACCTGATGACAGCATGCATTCATTGTTCTGCTCGTGGATTAATAACAGTCCTCAGTCCTCCAACAGGTGAAGGATTGAGGAGGGTTAGGGTTAGCAAAGGGGATTCTGCGGATGCGAGCCCATCATATGCAGCAAGGTATGAGACGGAGAGAACCCCCCTGCTTTGTGTTGTTCATTGTCTCGCAGGAATCTGGGGAATTCCTTTCAGACATCTTGGGGGGGATGTGTTAAGCAACAATAGTCTGGAATGTGTATAGGGATTGGACATGTTGGGGGGTACCCCTTGGTCTCATTTCTTGCTGGGTATAGAGCCCATTCCTTTAAAAGTCGATGTCGCGTGCCATTCGTGCGGAGTCGGTATTACCTGAAGAACCATGGCTTCGATGACAGATGGGATGGTGCTTTTAGTGAATCGCTTCAGTTGGGGACTACAATGCGGTTTATTAAAGGGTTGTCACACAGTTCGAGAACCTTCAGCTGTCCTTTAACCTATACTGCGCTGGAATCGTCATTTGATGTTGTTTTGACCAATGACACCGATCAATGTTTCGGCATGCGTCTTGACACGTGCGCACAAAGTCCATTTAAATTAGCTTGTGATCCAGCAACCACAAGGCTTTGTTAATATGTTGACGCCTACAATTCATTTACACAGTTCTTTCTTGAGCACTCATTTTGCCGTCTGAGATTTTAATGTTCATAAGGCGAAACATTATCTCTGACGCTTTCTTTGTGCAAGTTTATATTTCGTATGCTTTTTTATCTTTCCGGTAGATTTAGAAAAGTGAACTTTCCCCCAAAAGTTTTTTAAAAATTGTTCATGCTTTTCGGGAAAACAGAAGGCGCTATAACTGTCGTAATCGGAAAATTTGTACAATTGTGAAACCCCTCTTTTCTCACTAAAACATTCAGGAGAAAGAATTAATTGATCGTTGGCTTATTACCACCAAGCTTAGGCCACTGAAGACACTTTAAAAGAGCAAAACAAAACTTGAAAATAGTTTACTCGACACAAACGTGCATTATGCCTTCCTTACTGTCCTCTAACGGGCGACCCTGGTAAAATATGGTGTACAGCGCATGATCACTGGATGAGAACCGCGCGTTTTATTATTGTGTTACACTGCCGGCGATAACGGCTATTTTTTGTTGTTGAAAGATTCGTCCGGTGCATGGGCATCGAGCGCTAAAGCAACGGTATTTCCCCTTCTAATGCCCATGAACTCAGGGAAATTCAAACAGGTGATTTGAAAGGTAAGGCTCCGTGAAGGCAGAAGGTGTTCCTTGTCTATACTTCGAAAGGAAGGAAAGTAAGGTTACCGCCATTACCTTGTTACCAAAGTGGCAGGAACTCCTCCTTGCTCTGAAAATGCCAGATTGTGTTTTTTTAGCACATTTTTTTTTAACTTAGATGATTTATTTCAGGTTTCGTGTCTTGATGTTTTTCATAGCAATCTGGAAGAGGCCTTTTGTACCTTTGTAAAATTGTACTTTTTCCATGGGACTCATGGATCTGACTAGTAGTACCTTTTCAGCACAGCTGATTGGGATATCTATGAGGCAAGTGAAATTTATTTCATTCATTCAATTGATCAAATGGGGGTTATTATGAAACAGATGGAAGCCAAAGCTGAGCATCTTTTCCACAGCCATTCTGCACTAGTAATGATGATTCAAACGAGAGCGACTCAGCGTTTTCTTGCAAGGGTCAGGTGGCTCTAGTTCCCACTAGTTAAAATGAAAGACTAGTGTTCTATAAAAAAAATGGTCCTAAGTACCCGATAAAGTTGAGGGTTGCCACTTGAAAAATGGCCGCAAGCAGACTTTGGGAAAATCACTTTTTCGGAGGGTAATTTTGTTTTGTGGGAATAACTCAAAATGTAACCGGTTAACCCACACAAAATTGAGAAGAAATTGAAAGTTTAGGAACCATACAATAATTTAATGTGTGTTAGATACCTCAGGGATGTTGGTACGTATGTTATGATTGGGCCATGCACATGTATAATAAATTCTGGACTTGCAATGCCCTTAATCAGCTTATAGAGATCATTGAATCCACTCGCGGTCATTTTACCGAGCCGAATACAAAGCTTTCCTGGCAATGCCCACCTTTGTTCTTGCTGACGTCAATGGAGGGGGCCCAAACCACGCATTTGTATTCGGCTCGGTAAAATGGCCGCTGGTTTGCTTCTTCATACGAAGGCGTTGCAAGTCCAGGCTTTTTATATACGTCCATGTATTGGGCCCTGAACAATGTTGATTTTACAGAGTTTTCAATGGCTTTTGAATTAGTGGACTACACCCTCAAGAGTCCTCAGGGAATCTTTGGGCAGGGAACCAGACTACTTAGAACAGAGTCGCACTGGAGTAACGTAAGAGGGCGTCCTATCAGAGTACTGGTATTAGTCACAAGCATGTCTGTGGTATAGGTACCGGTGCGGTCTGCTGTAGACTTGAGTCAAGTCGGACTTACATGTACATCTACATTGCTCTTCCCCACCCCTTCACTTCTGCCTGTACTGTATGCATCATACATGTACTGTACATGTTCATGCATGTGTACATGGTCGTCGCACTTAGCCGGTCCGACTCGTATAGCCCTTATAATACGCCCTCATTGATAGCCCTGTGGTCGAGCTCGGGCGGCTCATTCTTGACATGGGTTTCTTGTTCCAGCGCTCAAACGGCGGAACACGACTCAGGAACACTGTTCTCGGAACAGGATCACACACCATCTCCTCGTCAGGGTTTGACAGGAACACACGGAAAAACATGTAAGATTTTGATTTTTGAACAGCAGCAAAAAGTAGAGAGATGGCCTCCAAAGCCAGAGACACTGGGAAGTTTGGCAAAATTAACATTAAGTATTTTCCATAACACAGAATTCAATGTTCCTGTACAAATAGAAAAAAAAAATCAGCCCGTCCAAACATCAACTCTCGAATTAAAGCTCATGGACGCCGCCATGTTGCATGTTGCTTGCCACTACTAACTACCAGCAATAACCGGTTGTTCCCGGCGTCCGGACGCGTCCGAGCGGCCGACCCACGAGCAATAAATCGAGTTGTTCGTGAACGTACGAGAACAAGCCGCCCGAACACCAGGATGTTTGAACTGAACTCATAGTAATAAGTGGACACAAGAGGGCGCGAAGTAACGGCGGGCGGTCTCGATATATATGTATCCAAAAAGCAGAAACGAAAACATCACGCAGAGAGATGCCGACTTGAGTCAAGTCTAGTTCTCGTGAGATTGCCTGAAACTCTGCAGCCCGAAAGAGAAATTGAACGGATCTTGATGTGGCGAGTTATTCATCGTATTTAAAGCTTGAAGATGGCAACAAACGGTAAGCAGTGTTCATGTTGTATGGATTGGAATGTCAACGTCAGAATATTACACTTAGACCGGCAACCTTACATGTACCGTGGAGGAAGGAGGGGCCAGTCCTGCCACATTGCCAGTTCCTTTTGCGGCAAGGGACCAGCCATGCATGGGGACTGCCATGATGAGCCATCGCCTAGCACAGGTTGGACGTGTTGTCTTCATTTCATTACGACTGACGTAGTACGGTCAGGGAGTCCACCTGGGCTAGCCATCGCCTAGCCTATCGGTATATGTAGGCGTCTTCGGCTCCATCGTACATGATGATGATGATGTAGGCCTAAACTTTAGGCTTAAGTATGTTTATTTAATTTTGAATACTATAACTTAGGCCTAGACCCTAAAGACTAGCCCCGCGCCCCACAAATGACTTCCGAAGCAAGAAGCGCAGCTTTGTCATGTTTGTTTTTCAAAATGGCGCCGCCCATGGTCAGCATAGAAATATCATCAGAGGCCCGGTTTTCAAGGCGCCCTACATCGAGAAATACACAGTTTGCAAAAGCTTTAGGGTGCTTATCAAAGTCTAAACTCTAAGGAATATTCCGGTGTACTATTGGGCGTCAAGTGATATCTAAGGATGGAACTCGTTCCGTAAAATGCATGTAGGCCTACCAGTATGTAAGCTATGCAGATCTGCTTCTTGTATAAACATGACGAATATCGTGTCCAGAAAAATTCGAGAAGAGGAACTTCGGCAAAAGTCCCGCACTTGAGTTTGACATGTTCAGACGACTTGTCAAAAAAATCATGGGAGCCCCCAAAAAGTTTTCAAGGAAAAACGTAAGTAAATGTCTCTCATTAACTGTGATTCCTTTGATTTTTTTTCAAATTTCATGCTGCTCCCACTCCATGAGAGGATTTCTGAAGGGTTACGAAGGTCTAACCCAGAGGCTCTAAAGCACTGCCTTTTGAGAACTGTATTAGTTTGCACTGTTTATCTTGCGTCAACAAGCTTGAGGGGCTAGTGGTTCAATCCTTTGTTGACCCTAATCCTTATCTTTTTGAGTAAATTATAGCCCGTGGTCATCTTCAAGATATAGATGTACATGTATGAGTTTTAATTGTAATGAAACTGACTTAGATCAAGTTTTGCATTTTGTATTGCCACTCCGTAATTTACAAATTGCAAAAAAAGACCACAGCCAAACCCAGAGATGGGTTTAGCACAGTTTCCTGCTTTGATGCTTGAAAGCAGTGGCAGGCAAAGCCCAGGGTGTTGCTGTTTGATAACAGATTACCAGTAATTGTTAGATGAAGGGTTCAAAAAGATAAGAAGCTGAGAAAGGTTTGAAATGTAAACAACAAAAAGGCAGTGGAAATCTGGCCTCCCTGTCCAGTGGAGCATTTCCCTCTTGCATTGATTGTCTTTTCACATCAAAATGAAGTTGAATGTACTTGTACCGGTATATTATATGTATTTTTCCTAGTTTCAGATCGCATATTGTATGCAAGTACAGTATGTGCATGTATAAACCGCAAATTCACCTCTAGAGGAAAGAAGTGTTTTCTAAGGGAATACCTAAATATTTTCATTGCTAAATTTGACATTAGGACATTTTTTTTTTGGCTTACAGATGGCTAACAAGTGTTGGACAAAATGCTGGCGTCAGTATGGAATTCTTTTCCTCATCTACATGCGTAACATGTTTGGACATACTTGGTTTGTCAATAATGCAGGTTTCAGGTTAGCTTTGGTACAGATGGCTGTTTCTGCCAATAAGAAAGACAACATCACCAAGGCAGTCCGACTCATCAGAGAAGCAGCCAGTGCTGGGGCTAAACTTGTGGCATTGCCTGTAAGAAGATCATGGTGTACATGTAGTTAGCGTGTTTGGTGGTTTAAAGGCAGAGAAAAACTATTCTCAATTAGTACCAATGACTGGTACGCTGATTGCTCGTAACCTTTCACCCACTTTGATCCATGTACTGTTCTTCACATGTATGCATGTTGGGCATTTTTAAAATTATGGCTTCATCTCAGCTTGTGGCTTTGGTTCAGTAAGTCTGCGTGTACCGACGACGTCACACTTTGTTTCCTATGGAGAAAGTGGGCGCCTACAGTCCTCTGAGTACCAAAGGAGAGCCCACGGGTAAACAGAGTGGCATCACCAGTGTTTGTAGTGTCTATCTTAGGCACTTCCCCTAAATGCTAACCCCCTTCAGGTACTGTACATGTATCCTCTAGTCACCCTGTTGAACCTGACAGCGTCCAGTGACTAGAAAAAAAGACCTTGTGTTCACTGCTCACGTCAACAATATCAACGGAAGGAGCCCACTGGTAGATCTGTACTGTTGGGCCCATAGTTAGGGTTAATGTATGTTACATGTACGCCCATACATGTACTTTGTACTCGTTGTGCCTCAATGAATGAACAATAATTTGGTTGTAAATTCAGACTAGGAGCTAGAGACTTGTACGTGTAAATAGTGGCTTGTAGCTGGAAACAAAGGAAAAATCAGGGGCTACGTGTAATTTCGTTAAGCCATCAATCATGAAGTCTGGAGGCTGATATCCATGTACACACCATATGTACTGGTGTGTACATGGATCAATCAGTCAGTATGTCGTGTGCAGATGTTGCAACTTTTCAATCTGACCACACATCTCCTTTGGTTGCTGCGTTCATGTCAGTATTTCCCTACTCCCACGCCCCACTCCTCTAGGAGTGCTTCAACTGTCCCTACGGCACCTCTTACTTTGCCGACTACTCGGAGAAGGTGCCTGGCCCATCCACAGAGGCCCTGTCCAAGGCCGCCGCTGAGAACAAGGTCTTCCTGATTGGGGGTGAGTCCTGAAATCTTCCTGTGTAGGGGTGTGAGGATGTCAAGAAGGCCATGTCGGCAAGGCCAGATTAGCCATAAGACAGAGTAGGCACTGCACTGATTGCCTATGATGAAAACTTCAGGCACTGCAAAGACTTCAGGGGCCTACAAAAATACCTCACGCTAATTTGTCATAAAGTGCAGGAAAAGTGTCACTAACTTGCTGTCCCCACTCCACTGGGTTTCCGAGTTACCAGAGGCTCTAATTGGGGAAGAGCACCACCTTTTTGGAATTTTATTAGTGTGCATTATTTATCTTCTGTCAACAAGCTTGTGGGGGGGGGCTAGTGGTTCAATCCTTTATTGATCTTCAGTCTCATCTCTCTGAGTAAGTTATAACTGGGGATCATCTTCAATAAACATGAGTTTCAATTGTAATGAAACTACTTAGATCAGATTTTGCATGTTGTGGTACCACACTACAAACTCTGAATTGCGAAAAAAGACCATAGCCAAGTCGACAACGCTAGCTACATACATGTACGTACAGTTTCATGCTTCAATGTTCAAAAGCAGTGGCAGGCAAACCCCAGTTTGTTGGTGTTTGATTACGGATTACCAGTAATTGTTTGGTGAAGTGATTAAAAAGATAAAACGCTGGGAAAGGTGTTGAAGCCATAACCTTTGGTCATGGCCCGTTTTTTTTGCCAACATGCAATCCTTGAGAAGAATACAGTGAATATGCCATGAACAAGACTTCATACAAGTGATTAAGTTTCATGATACATACGGCACCTGTCCCACCATCAAGAGCTAAATCTAGAGCTCAGAATTACATGTAGTAGTCACAATCTTTATCCTTGGTCTGGCTGGTTTTTGTTTTTTTTTTATCAAGGATCCATACCGGAGGAAGAACAAGGCAAATATTACAATTCTTGCTCTGTCTTTGACCCAGAAGGCAAAACCATTGCTAAGTACAGAAAGGTATGTGGCCCACATTGCAATCTTGGTTGAAGAGGCTACATGTATTAAGTGGGTAGATGACGGATTGTTTAAAATGATCCACTATAATATCGTTTGAGGTTGAGGAGTCGATATAAGTTCTGAGGGGGCTAATTTCATTTCATTTTGAGAAAATGCCCTTTAAACATAACAAACAGAAAAATTTAACTTAAATTAGACCTTCTCTTGGTTTTCCTTAGCAACAGAGGCTTTCCGGTTAAGTAATTGGCCTGAAAGTGTTATCAAATATTTTCACCCTTGGCACATGGAATGGGCCATTGCGCATTTTTGCATTGCATGACTTAATTCACCTTTTTGCAGAGCGGGTCCATAATGAATATTTATGAGTGCGGTGGAAGAGTAACTGCCGTAGGTGTTGGCCTCGTGAAATAGACCATTTCTTTTGTCGCCGAATACGATTATTCTTTCCACTGCACGAATGCAAAACTTTCATTATTTGCTTTAGACAACACCTGTATAAATCAGATTTAGTCATTTGATTTTCTGAGCACAGGTGGATTGATTAATTAACTGATTAACGAATGCAAAACTTTTCATTATTTGCTTTAGACAACACCTGTATAAATCAGATTAAGTCATTTGATTTTCTGAGCACAGGTGGATTGATTAATTAACTGATT